AGGCCATGTTTGTTTGGGCGGACTGGATTAGCATTCCCATGACTAATAGTCCTAGGACTACGAATCCGTTGGATTATGTATCCTATCTTAACTAATAGTCAAGTTTAAAATAATTAGTCCGTACTTCAATTGTTTAACCAAACATCGGATTAATAATTTTATTGGACTATTAGTCCAATCCCAAGCTCATGTCCACCCAAACAAATATGGCCTAAGTTCCATAATATAAATAATCTGCAAACATTTCACTATAGAAAAGAAGAAGAAAAAAAAATTCCCATATAGGGTCCGTACTTTCCATTGAACCGAAAGCAAGTGAACTGCTGCTCTACGGTATGCAATTTCAAATCGGGTTGTGTGGCCATAATCTAATTACACAGAAAAAAAAAATGATGAAGGAGAAGAAGAAGAAGAAGAGAGAGCAAATCAGTCTTTGATAGGAAGAGTCCAAGGTCAATATGCTTTAAAAGATTTGGCATACCTTTTCCATTAGTGGGGTAAACATGTCATCTGCAAGATATGCCAAGGTTGTACCACTATCAATTACCACCGCTTTCCCAGACTGACTATCCAATACATCTGTGGGAAGTTGTAGAACATCATGACCCACCTCAATTGCCTTCAAAATAACATTGTAATGTGCCCTACGATAATAATAGAACTGTAATTTAGACAAGATTCTTGAGCCGAGATCAAACCTGATTGAGGAACTATAAACAGACAAGAGTAATAAAAGAATGTTATGCAGTAGCAACTAGCGAGTCCATTAAAAATAGATTTAAAATTACCAGACGTCAAAAGGAAAGTTGCAACACAGAAATCACTTGAGAGTGATTAATAATCGTATTCATAACTTGCACACTTATGTTTAATAATCACTTTATTAAAAGCAGTAGCCAGTCGCAGAGCCAGATTTTTATTTTTATTTTTATTTTTTGTTTTCAAGTGGGGTCATTTAGAAACCAGTTAAACAATTAACTTTCACTCTAGGAAATAACTTTTTCCCATATGCTATATTAATATCTCTTTCTTCTAAAATTGAAAAAATAATAATAATAATTACTAATAGATGAAAGAAAATAGATATAGTGGCAGATTATTTCTTCATAATCTAATTGCTAATGCAAATAGAAACTTAATTCTTGAGTAAGGGTGTTCCTTGCATGTTATTTTATTTCTTGAAGTAAATTTAACAATCATTACCCAAGATTTAAATACTCACTTCTTTTCCTAAGTAGTTATGGGATAACTTTTTTTCTCACTCACTCATTGCCTGAGAAAGTTACTAAAAAGAATAGCATATAGTCCTTGACAAAGTGGAATGGCAAAAAAAATCATGTAGCCAACCCCAGGTGGTTAGGACATAGGGCGTAATTTGTCAAAATTCAATAAGTGATTACTGATGTATCGAATAGTATGGAAAATCTAAGGGAAAAAAAATTATGTACAATACGAAAAGATTTTCTCAAAAAACAAAAAAGCAAAAACATAGAAAGGGGAACCTATGGTGGTCAAGGGAGAAGTGGGAGGTGTCAGTGTTGTTGGTGGAGATGGTGGTTGATTTCCGGTTAAGCATGGCAGAAATTATGCATCGCCATTGATTCAATCTTCTATCTTTTTAATTTTTGTCTCAACATAAGCACAAAGCCATTCGTTTAAAAAACAAAGCCCCGACATGTTAAATTAATCTTACAAACCATATCAATGTTGAGTCTAAGATAGGTCTAGATTGTTAATCGCTTGGAGAGAGAGTGGGAGCAGAAGGTTCAGACTTGAAGTCAAGAAATTGGAGCTTAGTGGTCCAAACTAAAGCTCATTGATTTAATTATATCTAGCAATTGTAGCTTCAAATTGGTGGACCCTGACAGAGTTGATGTGTCTTGATGAAGCTGATGTAAAGGTGGTAGTCATGCCATGGTGGTTCATATGGTCGTGTGATAAATTTAATTGGGTTGATAGGAAAGAGAGACACAATAGTTGAAAACGGAGTCATTTGCTTTCGGTTGGCATCAACCAATAGTCTCTAATCATGGTGAGGTAATTAAAGTAACACAGAAAGAGAGTTCAGAGGTAGAGAGGGAAACCAACGGTCTTTGTGATGGCTGGTATGATGGTATTTTGGTTATTTTACAGTGTTATTGAATATTATAAATGTCTTTTAATATTACTCCACATGAGGGGAAATAGACAATTTAAAGCGTCAACTTGGTGAACTTAGTCAGGTACTAAAATCCAAGCTAAATAACCACTTCCATTCCATCAAAAGGATGCAGAAAGTACTTCAAATACCAATTTTGTAATGAAGACAAAACTCATCCCAAAATTAAAATATCTCATAGTTTCACTGCAAATTAGAAAACATGATGTAAAATCATATACTGGTTTGGGACCAACGGAGTTGAGTTTAGTTTTGGCTCCACCAGTTGTCCAATAGCAAAGATTCACCTCCATTAGTACCATCCAAGCAATGTGCAAACATTTTTTTAACCTTTCCAACCGATGCAAGCTGTGATATCATGGAAGAATTTGCTTGTCCAAAACCAAGGATGCCATCAAGTGCTTGAGAAGATGAACCTAGCTGACTGGATTGTTTAGCTCCACACCTGTCTTAGATTAGAAATATTTATATAAGGAATAAAAGAAACATTGTACATAAACTGTGCTAAATAATTATCAAGTTTTCAACACCAATCAGACCTAAGCAAGGCACACACATTCGAAACTTGAGAGAACATGTCAAAGATAATATAGATTTCACTAGTAAATCTGACTTGTTAATGACCATTTCATCTAAAAGCTTAAGTTGTTACAAAGGGTTTAACTTATCTATCAAGATCATTGATGCTGCCTCAGGTGTGGGCACTCTAAATGAATGAGCCAAACATGTACAAGTATTAAATTTATTGGGTAGAATGAATAAACAAAGGAACTTCTATAACATCAAAAGGACATATGACACTGCTCACCCAAAATAACCCACATAACTCTTTTTATATTATTATTATTATGTATCTTGGTTACAATGACTCATCAATGACAACACAAATCACAAATTATTAAAGAATGTGCCATATACAGTTGTAAGTAGAATGGACCAGGGGTCAGGGGTTCACTGTGGAGTGAAATAAGGCTCTAAAATTTTTCTTCATATCTAAAATCTCTCCTCCAAGATGGGAATGCTCAACCTTATTCTCCACACTACACTACCCCACCAAACCTCACTCTCTTTCTTCACTTCCCTTCATAATTAACCCTACATTGAAGCCTTTTTAGTTCCTTTTCCTTGCTAGAAGATAAGTTTTCTTCTTCTTTTTTCTTTCTTTTTTTTACCTTAATAGCTTCATGAATCTCCTCCCTCCCCAAATTAGTCGATTTCTTCAATTCAATTTTCTCAAGACTAGTGCAGTTATTGATCTTCTCATCCACCCTTTTATCACTATTATCAGACAACTTTCTCACATTCTTAACTACTTCACTAAACTATTCATAGCTCGAGCAACCACCAATAACTACAACCAATGTTTTTGTCTACCTTCTGGAGAATAAAAAGGCCTCTATCATCAATTTCAAATGACACCTCAGAACCTCGAAGCTTGATCCTACCCTATTTCCAGCCCCATTTCAAACCCCAGACTCCCCTCCACCCCCTGCAAAATGGGGAGTTCATATGAAAAATCCACCGCCCGTTCCTCAAATCACTTCTACCTCTGCTTCCCCTTTCAAATTATTCCTCCAATCACTAGAGAGAGAGAGAGAGAGAGAGAGATCTAAAAGAATGTGTTATATAAAAGTTGGCCACATGCAAAACGTAACTTTAATTTAACCCTAATCTCTATTATCTTCTCCTTTTGTCTAAACCCCCTACTAACTTGGTGCATCAAAGGACTTCTTTTGTAAGAGCCTGTGAAAGAGGAGGTACAGTCCACAATCAACCCAGTCCCACCCATAGACCTTTGATAATACTCTGATATCATCACACTACATGCATATCTTTTTTATGGTTTTCTCTCTACCTTTATTATTGTTTGATTTATTGTTTATCAAATTTTAATTCTTTTTTTTACGAGAGAGAACGGGAGAGATTTGATTTACTGTTTATCAAAATTTGATTCCTTTTTTTTTATGAGAGAGAATGGGAGAGAGATTTATGGTAGAAATGAAATAGTTGGTGCTCGCTGTAAAAATAAAAAAAAAAATCAACAGAAGAACTAGAAGCCTAGTCTCAATGAAATACATATTACATGTCTAAAAGTCAGAAAAACCAAAATTAGCAAGGCCGGCCTGGCTGGTATGCATCAGTAGCCAAGTATCGAGTCACATCTCATCACCATAATCTCAAGAATCAAACAAGGGACAAAACTTTCTCTATCCTATACACACAGTCAAATGCAAGTAAGGCATCTTAAATAATATTGTCTACACCCAAAAAACGACGGAGCAAAGTGTCAGAACTAACTCACTGGTCCCTTCCAACACTGAGAATCCACTGAGCAAGATGAGTTAAATATGGCTCGGCTTGAGAACTGCTGCTCAAAATTGGCCCGAGACTCAAGCTCAGAATTAAATTCCCTCTCAAATTTCCTGCAGATTATTCACAGCATATTAATGAGAGAGAGAGAGAGTTGCACTAGTGATTTATCCTTACAGATCAGAATCAGTGACTGCTGCATTTTCAGTGGCTAGCTTCAGCACCTGGAATGTCAATGGATTTAATGATGTTCTATATTACCTTAATTGTTTTGCTCCACATTAATATGTGCTAAGCATACACTAGCATTCAAATCTCAAAACAGATGAGAAATCCAACACATTTATTATATCTGATCTGACAAATAGTATGTGTTTATTCAGGAACAATTTTTCCTATACAAGGACTATGAACTCCAATCCAATTAAACTCTTGCACAATTAAAAAACACTACATGACAAGGTTGATCGGACAATTTGCTAATATATGGGAAGTTTTCATAGAAGAACCAACTTAAAGATTAATAAACTCAGGTGAGAGAAATATAGAACAGAGGCCCATGCCTTGAAATGTTAATCCTAGCTTCAGATAATAAAATAAAAAATAAAAAATAAAAATCTGATCTCCAATGCCATGTAATGGAGTGTTTTGACACCTTTTCCACTGCCTTGTCTACTGTTGATTCTGATTCTGTTATAAACCTGAATTAATCTGCTGCTACATGGGAGCAGAATTTTTGTCCGCCAATGGAGTTCTTGTGCTGGGCATGAACTCAACTGTCGTGGAAAGAGAGTGGTCCAGTCTTTGACAGCATATTTGGTGAAACCTGCTGGCGGGGAAAAAGGTACTCCTTAGAGAAGGATGATGAATACATGGGGGCTCTGTCATTTTCAGCGAAATTGTCACCAAGGTGGGAATGAGAGCAACCCCTCTTCCCTTCAAGCTCTATCACCACGCCCCTGTTGAGATCAATGACCTCCAAACATCTATTTGAACCATTAACATGATCTTCAAAACTAGGTATGTTTTCTTTTTCGTTGTCATGAAGTGAATGACGGTCATTCTCAAGAGGGCGCCTGCTGGCCCTTTCATGCTCTTTCGTCATTGGCCTCTTGCTCTCTCCACCCATTTCATTTTTCAATATTCCTTCTGTTCTTTTCTTTTCTGCCTTCAAACTAGAATGCAGGCCTAGTTTTTTTGAATTATGTCCCCCATCAATAACTTTACTAGATCTTGAGCAATTTTCTCTGCACAATTGAGGAGATGCATCAGTCTGACCTTTTGAAGTTTTCCCTGGTAAATTTCTCGAGGTTGCAGACGTGCTGGACATTTTTGGGGAATTTTTATCTAGCTCTTGATTCTGTGCTGCATATCTGCGAATGGCATTCAAAGAAGGATTTATCACTCCATTTTGCACAGAACCAAGCTTTGTATCCCCATTCTCTAGTAAAATTCCAGTAGTCTGAAGTTTATCCGGCCTTTTTCTGTTTGTCACCCCACTAATATTAGGCAAAGCACTCTGCGCTCCAAAATGAAACTGGAAATCTCTACCTACCGTCGACAACATAGCTTTGTCCTGTCAAAGCAGATAAGCTTTACTTGATTGAAATACTGACTTCACAAGGTAATACTCATAACATAGAACTAAACAAATCTCATGACATAGAACTAAACAAATCGGAAGACAATAAAACTACCTCATCAAAGAACCCAATCCTTGGTGATGGCATTCGGAGACCCGAAGGTTTGAAATTTCTGGTCGATTTTGCAAGATCATTAGCAGTTCCCCTAACTACTTCAAGACATAGATTTGGAAACCTTGATTGATGACTTTCTTGACCATCGAAACATTCATCATGTGGGAAACTCTGAAAATTTAATGCTTGGGTGGCATCATTTCCTAAACAAGCTCCTCTGGAAGTACTGGTATGAAAACTGACCTCTAAACAGTTGGAGCTTTGGTGGGCAGTTGATGATGATTCTGAGGACCATCCATCAATGGAGCTAGCAGGTGATTCATAAGAAGAATGGTTTGACATGGACAATGAAGAGGTTGACAAACCAGGATTTTCCAACACAATTTTGTCTCCTAGTGAGCACCTGAGAGGAGTCTTGGAGGTTGAACCAGAGGCAGCAAGTCTACTTTTCCTGGAATCTGCTTTTCTTCTCGAGTTTGAGGAAGATTTCAACGACGAAGCACTACTAGTAGTGGCAGAAACTGAAGAAGATGATTCAAGGGATGTTGTAGAGCTAGTGGAACATGAGTTTCCCAATCCAGATTTCTTGGATAATATAAAATCTTTCCCTGTAACAGTCAATGCATTTTGATGTAAATTCCATTAGAAGTGGAAGAAAGGAACTTTTAAATTATATGAAGATTCTTACCAGATCCAAGGGTTGCAACTTTATTTCCCATTTTGACATGATCCGCACCTAAGGAAATCTTTTTTTTTTGTCCTGCTGACGCCATGTTCATCCTGCTTGACTTATGAGGAAACGAATTAGCTTCCCCATTCTTTTCAGCATCCTGTATTGATCAAATTAATTTGAGTTAGTTAATTCATATCCTAGAGTTAAGTTTCATTTCCTTACACAATCTTGTGTCTACATATCCAACAAGTTAGACAACCCAATGCTGGACAAAATTGTAACTTATAAGTAACAAATAATAATAATCATAACATAGAACTAAACAAATTGGAAGAAAATAAAACTACCTCATCAAAGAACCCAATCCTTGGTGATGGCATTCGGAGACCCGAAGGTTTGAAATTTCTGGTCGATTTTGCAAGATCATTAGCAGTTCCCCTAACTACTTCAAGACATAGATTTGGAAACCTTGTTTGATGACTTTCTTGACCATCGAAACATTCATCATGTGGGAAACTCTGAAAATTTAATGCTTGGGTGGCATCATTTCCTAAACAAGCTCCTCTGGAAGTACTGGCATGAAAACTGACCTCTAAACAGTTGGAGCTTTGGTTGGCAGTTGATGATGATTCTGAGGACCATCCATCAATGGAGCTAGCAGGTGATTCACAAGAAGAATGGTTTGACATGGACAAAGCAGGGGTTGACAAACCAGGATTTTCCAACACAATTTTGTCTCCTAGTAAGCACCTGAGAGGAGTCTTGGAGGTTGAACTAGAGGCAGCAAGTCTACTTTTCCTGGAATCTGCTTTTCTTCTCGAGTTTGAGGAAGATTTCAACGACGAAGCACTACCAGATGGAGAACAAGAAGCTGATGAATCATTACTGGTAGTGACAGAAACTGAAGAAGATGATTCAAGGGATGTTGTAGAGCTAGTGGAACAACATGAGTTCCCCAATCCAAATTTCTTAGATACTATGAAATCTTCCCCTGTAACAGTCAATGCATTTTGATGTCAATTCCATTGGAATTGGAAGAAAGGAACTTTTAAATTATATGATTGTTCTTACCAGATCCAAGGGTTGCAACTTTATTTCCCATTTTGACATGGTCCACACCTAAGGAAATCTTTTTTCTTTGTCCTGCTGACGCCATGTTCATCCTGCTTAATATCTTCGGTGACTTATGAGGAAACGAATTAGCTTCCCCATTCTTTTCAGCATCCTGTATTGATCAAATTAATTTGAGTTAGTTAATTCATATCCTAGAGTTAAGTTTCATTTCCTTACACAATCTTGTGTCTACATATCCAACAAGTTAGACTACCAAATGCTGGACAAAATTGTAACTTATAAGTAACAAATAATAATAATCATAACATAGAACTAAACAAATTGAAAGAAAATAAAACTACCTCATCAAAGAACCCAATCTTTGGTGATGGCATTCGGAGACCTGAAGGTTTGAAATTTCTGGTCGATTTTGCAGGATCAATAGAAGAATGGTTTGACATGGACAATGAAGGGGTTGACAAACCAGGATTTTCCAACACAATTTTGTCTCCTAGTGAGCACCTGAGAGGAGTCTTGGAGGTTGAACCAGAGGCAGCAAGACTACTTTTCCTGGAATCTGCTTTTCTTCTCGAGTTTGAGGAAGATTTCAACGACGAAGCACTACTGGTAGTGACAGAAACTGAAGAAGATGATTCAAGGGATGTTGTAGAGCTAGTGGAACATGAGTTTCCCAATCCAGATTTCTTGGATAATATAAAATCTTTCCCTGTAACAGTCAATGCATTTTGATGTAAATTCCATTAAAAGTGGAAGAAAGGAACTTTTAAATTATATGAAGGTTCTTACCAGATCCAAGGGTTGCAACTTTATTTCCCATTTTGACATGATCCGCACCTAAGGAAATCTTTTTTTTTTGTCCTGCTGACGCCATGTTCATCCTGCCTAATATCTTGGGTGACTTAGATTTACCATTCTTTTCAGCATCCTATATTGATCAAATTAATTTGAGTTAGTTAATTCATATCCTAGAGTTAAGTTTCATTTCCTTACACAATCTTGTGTCTACATATCCAACAAGTTAGACTACCAAATGCTAGACAAAATTGTAACTTATAAGTAACAAATAATAATAATCATAACATAGAACTAAACAAATTGAAAGAAAATAAAACTACCTCATCAAAGAACCCAATCTTTGGTGATGGCATTCGGAGACCTGAAGGTTTGAAATTTCTGGTCGATTTTGCAGGATCAATAGAAGAATGGTTTGACATGGACAATGAAGGGGTGGACAAACCAGGATTTTCCAACACAATTTTGTCTCCTAGTAAGCACTTGAGAGGAGTCTTGGAGGTTGAACTACTACTGTTGATTCTGATTCTGTTATAAACCTGAATTAATCTGCTGCTACATGGGAGCAGAATTTTTGTCCGCCAATGGAGTTCTTGTGCTGGGCATGAACTCAACTGTCGTCGAAAGAGAGAGTGGTCCAGTCTTTGACAGCATATTTGGTGAAACCTGCTGGCGGGGAAAAAGGTACTCCTTAGAGAAGGATGATGAATATATGGGGGCTCTGTCATTTTCAGCGAAATTGTCACCAAGGTGGGAATGAGAGCAACCCCTCTTCCCTTCGAGCTCTATCACCACGCCCCTGTTGAGATCAATGACCTCCAAACATCTATTTCCCTAGCCGCATGAAATACATATTGCATGTCTAAAAGTCAGGAAAACCAAAATTAGCAAGGCCGGCCTGGCTGGTATGCATGCAGAGAAATATCATTCACGTACTATATACCTACAATTAGATTATTACAGAGTATTTCTTCCAATGTACTTGTGTAATCTCACATTAAGACATACGTACAAAGTATTGTATTGGTGGAGATTAGGTGACTAGTTACAATTTATAAAGCATGGCTAGAGGGATACAAGATAGAGGTATGACACAATATGGATACATCAATACAAATTCTGAAAAAAGTAGGATATGGATTATGTTAAAGGATACGACCATAAATAAAAATATATATAAATTAAAAAGTAATTGTCATAAATCTTTTAGGATAAACTATTTTTCTTTATTTATCTATAATTAGGAAACACTCTAATTTTGGCGAAGCTGAGTCAGACTTTAGATTTCTAGAAAAAGTTGAATAAAAATTGATTAATTTATTCAGATGGTGATAATTAATCAAATCATTTGAGAGTCACATAGTTATTTTATATACACAGTTACATAACCACCATGAAGTATGTAAGCTCTCTACTTCCAGTCCCATGCTCCGTATATAACTCCACTATCATCAAGAGTTGCAATGCTTCCCTACGATGTATTCAAGCACATCAAGTATGTGTTGACTTTCTAGTCTACCAAATAGTCTTAATTTCAAACTACTAGAAGTCACAGCATGCAAAAAAATTCGAAGTGTAGTATTGGTAGAGATTAAGTGACTAGTTGAATCTATAAAGCATGGAATGGGATACAGGTATGACACAATATGAATACATCGATACAAATTCTGGAAAAGTAAGATATGGATTATGTTAAGGATACGACAATATATAAACATATATAAATTTAAAAAGTAACTTTGTGAAGACTGTTTTTCAAACTACTAGGAGTCATAGCAACCACAAAGTGTGCATAAATCATTGAAAGACAATAACAATTCTAAATATAAAATTTATGGTATAAATGAAATGTTACCAGAAATGACGCCTTAAATTACTTCAAAAGATTAGCAACCCAGTAATTTTTTTTAAAAAATGGATAAAAAGAAAAATAAAGAAGTAATCAACAAAATATTCAAAGTTCCTGTTAAATTTTATGTTTAGAATATCATCAATTTTCGTGTTTTTTTTTTTTTTTTCATGGGATAATAATACCATCATCAAATTGAAGTTATTTAATCTCTTTGTAACACATTTGACACAGGAAATTAATAACAGTGAAAGAAATGAAAATTATAGGCAGATAGATCACTATATCTAGCTAAGCATATAGCGACAATGACTATGAAAAGCTTCATACACAACATCACACAAAAAAAAAATCAAAATAAATTTTATATATATACAATTTATGGTAGATGTATATGTACGTAAAAATGACGAAAAATCTTTTAAGTGATGTCATTTAAATCAAGGTGGTGGTGATAGTATAAAATTATTGAGCAAATCCAAAGAGATAATTGAATGTTCTTCTCTATAATATTGGTTTGGAGGAATTGGAAAGTCTATTCCTCTTTGATAGAGCAAATATGTATATTCCTCGTATGGTACTTTTGCATACATACCGACCGGGGGTACACAACACATAACCAAGCATTTTCTTTTTAATTTTTGGTGTACCCAGACGTACCTAGTATATTCCCAAGCCGTACTGTACCTCAGTTGAAATAATATTTTCTTATACTGAAGAGATAAAACTCATTTCACTAGACTTCTTTTTTATTTTTTATTTTATACTTAGCATGATTTTAAAATTAAACTATGGTTTGTAAGTTATTTAATATATTGACATTTAATTTTGATTTATACCTTTACTTTTGACATTAAATGTTAATTGTAGGTTGAACCTTAACAAAGTAAATCATTTAATTAATTTTTGCATTACTCTAAATTAAAAATAAATATTTTTTTACAAGCGTACCAAGCCTTACCCGTACCCTATTTTTTAAAATTTTAACATATTGATGTACCCGTATCGTACCAGTACTAGTATTCGTATTCGTACCTATACCCGTGCTTCATAGGCAACAATGACTATGAAAAGCTTCATACACAACACCACACAAAAAAAGTCAAAATAACATTTATATATACATACAATTTATCATAGATGTATATGTACGTAAAAATGAAGAAAAGTCTTCTAAGTTGTACGGGTAAAAGGATTCAAACCATACCTTGCGTAAAAGAATTCGAAACGAAGAACCTTGTTGGTAAGTCACGTGCTTGACAACCATGAACTATGAACACCCAGCAATGGAGTGATACTACAGTATGAGTATCACCGACACTAGTCACAGTGCAAAGGCTGGATCGTTCTCTGATGGGAGAGAGTTAGAGAGAGAGTATAGGGAAAAAAATGTTATGGGTAAAAAACCACATCACGTATCTGATGTTCTATGTATTAAAACATATAATCAGATATATAACCATATATATCCATCTATCCATATCTCCTAAGGATAGGATAGATGTAGATAGATACGGGTAAAAGGATTCAAACCATACCTTGCGTAAAAGAATTCGAAACGAAGAACCTTGTTGGTAAGTCACGTGCTTGACAACCATGAACTATGAACACTCAGCAATGGAGTGATACTACAGTATGAGTATCACCGACACTAGTCACGGTGCAAAGGCTGGATCGTTCTCTAATGGGAGAGAGTGAGAGAAAGAGTATAGGGAAAAAAGTGATACTACAGTATGAGTATCACCGACACTAGTCACAGTGCAAAGGCTGGATCGTTCTCTGATGGGAGAGAGTTAGAGAGAGAGTACAGGGAAAAAAATGTTATGGGTAAAAAACCACATCACGTATCTGATGTTCTATGTATCAAAACATATAATCAAATATATAACCATATATATCCATCTATCCATATCTCCTAAGGATAGGATAGATGTAGATAGATAGAGGGTTATCCTAACAAATAGGATAATCAAGAAATCAAATTCAAATTACATGGGTAATTTGAATAGGCGGGTCATGCCACATGAGCGCCTAAATTCAGGTCTAATACCCGACCCAATTTCCAACATCTCCCATTCGCACATGAGTTGGCATGATACTGCCACATCTCTATCTCAATCTCCCAAATATTGAACAATCCCATACTAACCAATGAACCATGCGACCGCTGAGAAACACTTGCATGTGAGAGCTCTATACTAGAAACTCAAAATAAGCCAGTATAGGGACATCAACCCAAAAAATAGAAATAGTGTCTCATATACCCCAGACCCATCTAATTACACCGGTCCAAAAACATCTCTAATCCCTCGAAAGAGCATGCTTGACCCTCTCAATTCTTGCAATATATTCACACCCAATCCGCCTCTCATACAGAGCGATGTGAGTTGCCGGCAGTGAATACTAGATGATCTTCCCCTTGCCCTTATGCCATTTAGTTTAGGATTGACCGCTTTCCCAGTGATGTCCCTTAAGGCCGAATCATACATGACTGCAAGCAACATACCAAAGTAACAAAACATCAACCCCTTACCTTGTGACATAGTTAAAGGTCACAAAAGGGTACACAAGTGAAAGTCATATCAATAATGACACGTAAGACTCACACAGTGAGGAAACAAGGATCCATTCTCTCACCTCATTACTCAGTCGTCAAGCACATGGAGTATAAATACATGCTACGGTAGAGTAACTCTTTCAAAAAAGTGACGTCATACTCGATACACCGTACAAATCTTAGTCTAGTCTCTTTCTAGCGCCTAACCCGAATTCTCTATTTGCTCGCCTTCCAGGCGCCAAATGAGATCTTGCATCTGGCTAATCATAGTAGACACAACATGGAAAGTGGGTACTAACATCCATGTTTGGTCCTTCACACAATCTCATCTTGGTTGTAACCAAGGCGACATGTATAGTGGATAATTTAAGCCTCTCTTGGCTCCAAATAAAAATAAACCACTAATCTCATCCTTGCTCGCTCCCAAGCACAAAGGGTGATTGCTCGTGTGAATGAACCAATCTTGCCTGCTGACATCATCATCTGCTAATCATTATGACACAAACCATAATAATGTCAACATCCCATCATCTCACAACAAATAAGTGACCGATTTTAAAAAAAACACGACCACAGTCTGCGCAATTCTAGATTCCAAGCATAAACTTATCAGCACCTCTTGCGATAAGCATATACAACAAAATCTACCTTGTGCGCCTCACATGAAATGGTTCAAGATCACTACCTCTTGCGCAATTACCTTTCTAAAGGTATTTTGGTGACCAATCTACGTTCATTCAAAATGCGCCCAACTAGCGCATTGAATCTTACAAAGGGCAAATTTATACACTACCAGTAAAGCATTCTATCCACAGTCTAATGAGCAAGGTCAAGGTCTAAAACTACTCAGTTGACCATCTGAAGAGATAGCACTCATTATGCCAAATATGCCCACATAGCGTACTTCAGGCTCCCACAAAAAAACAATCAAGGAATATAAGTCATTTGTTTCTCCCAAAGACAATCCGAGGATTCACTCAATAGCTAAAGCTCTAGCTTTTACCGATAGATAAGTCAATGGGTTTGCAATTTCGCATCTAGAATCATTCTAAGATATTCCTTATGTAAGTCATTAAAGACAAACTGAGAATTCTCCCAGAACAATCTCTAAGGATCTTACATCCGAGCATATAAATAACATCACCCATGTCCATCATGTCTAAAACAAAGGACTGCCAACCCTAGGTGACGACAACTGTATAAATTCCTGGCTCATAATGACTAAGTAAAGAAAAACTTGTTTTGGACCATTGATCATGCCTCAGTGATCTTCATCGATCATCGTTGGCCTATCATGGCTCGATGAATCTAAGAATCACTATTTGGGTAATTGTTTTAGGCGCCGTAAAAGATTTATTAGAACTAGCAATCTTTTTTGCGCTCCTAACTTTTCACCATAAAAGCAGAAGGTAAATCCCTACGATCATTCTAGCTATCCAATTATGTAAGTCATTAAAGACAAACCGAGAATTCTCCCAGAACAATCTCTAAGGATCTTACATCCGAGCATATAAATAACATCACCCATGTCCATCATGTCTAAAACAGAGGACTGCCAACCCTAGGTGACGACAACTGTATAAATTCCTGGCTCATAATGACTAAGTAAAGAAAAACTTCTTTTGGACCATTGATCATGCCTCAGTGGTCTTCATCGATCATCGTAGGTCTATCATGGCTCGATGAATCTAAGAATCACTATTTGGGTAACTGTTTTAGGCCGTAAAAGATTTATTAGAACAAGCAATCCTTTTTGCGCTTCTAACTTTTCACCATAAAAGCAAAAGGTAAATCCCTACGAATTTACCTATCCAATTCTCCAACGAGAAATTGGGTCACAACGTCTACAAATCAAAATTCCGAACTCATGTCAATCATAGCCTAAGTCAAAGTAACCTTACTCCCCAGGAGAAAATTTTCTCATGGTCTACACCTTCCTTAATGGTGCGACTTTTCGATATCTAGTGAGCCTTATGCCTCAAAAAATGACTATCCAAATTGCGCATAACTTTATAACAGTTTCGCGTCATAGCGGAAAGTCAACCAAATTATAGAAATGGTTAATTCTCAAAGACTGTCTTAAACTGCGCAACATTGATCCACTTTTCTAAAAGTAGGGGACTAGAAAGCCTTATAACTTTAGAACAGTTTCGCATCATAGCGGAAAGTCAACCAAATTATAGAAATGGTTAATTCTCAAAGACTGTCTTAAACTGCGTAACATTGATCCACTTTTCTAAAAGTAGGGGACTAGAGAGCCTTTAGCATTATCCTAGGCTCTTTATCATCTTGCGGAGCAATCATGAATGTTTCCCTCTCAATCATCCAGTGATGATGTGAAAAATTTTCACATTCTCCACCACGCAACTAAGAATGTATTCTTCTCTAATGGAGCAATCCACTGGTAGGCACATCGCTCCCATTGTCCCTAGGATATTGGAAATTTCTTTCCATTCTCAACTAGGCTAGATAAACCGCTATACTTAGAATTCTCTATTTTATAGAGTTCCAAAACTCTAGTCACGTCACCTTTACTAAGAAAACTTTATGTGACTTAGATACACTCCCACAAAGCTGCTTATCTATAAGCACATGACCAGAAGGGTTTACATGACTGCATACAATAATGCGCCACATGACCATAAGTTTTACAAGACAGCATACAATAATGCGCCCTAGATCTTTAGGTCTTAACTTCGCAACCTTAAGAGAAGTAAAAGATAAGCTGCTTGATGGTTACAGATCGCCCACAAATGGCTCTCTGCTAACCCATTACTTAAATGGAGTGTAAAATCTGATATGGAGGGCACTTAGTTAGGGATATAGGCAACAAACTAGTGCAATTCTCAATTGGGAAACATTTTGCGCCATCATCCACCAAACATAAACAATACTTAATTCCTTATCTCTACTACACCATTGTGTTGCTGAGTGCTAGAAATAATCAATTTTCTGAGCATCCATCTCTCTTTACAGAGTTTTCAAAAAAAACTCAAATAGATACTCGCCACCTTGGTCAAAACTAAAAGCACAAAAGCTCTTGTCTAATTGATCTCAACCTCATGTGTGCAATGTTGTCTTATCCAGGTCAATTAATCCATAATCGCCTCCTTGGTTCTAAACTTGACAAGGAAACTTTATCACAAATATTTCTGTAAAAATTAATGTATAGAGAAAGAGAGAGAGAATCAATTATGTATATATTGATGTATTATTGATTGATGTATATTGTATATTACAAATGGTGAGGGGCTCCTTATATAGGAGATGTAGGTGTAGTGGAGTAGGTGAAGTGGAGTAGGTGGAGTAGGTGTAGTAGGTGGAGTAGGTGGTGGTAGGTGTAATAAGTGGAGTAGGTGAGGTGAAGTGAAGTAGGTTTTAACAGCCCCCGCAAACTCAAGGGGGATAGGAACTAACCAACTTGAGTTTGGAGAGAGTAACAAAACAGGAAAATAAATTGATAAAGAAAATAAAATAGGATAGGAGACACTGTATGGTCGTGTCAGACCGTTGGTGAAGACACCGTATGGTCGTGTCGAACCGTTGTAGAAGCTAACCGGAACCAATGTCGGGATAGTTTATGGGGTCATGTCGGACCGTTGTAAAAGCTAACCGGAATCAATGTCGGGACAGTTTATGGGGTCATGTCGGACCGATGTAGAAGCTAACCGAAATCAATGTCGCGACAGTTTACAGAGTCTTGTCGGACCCATGAAGGAGCTAACCGGAATCAATGTCGGGACAGTTTACAGAGTCTTGTCGGACTCCTAAAAAGTCGCACCCTCAAAAGTTGTGCCCAATCTTTCAAAAGGCGTGCCATCAAAAGGCGTGCCCAATCCATAAAAAAGGCGTGCCATCAAAAGGCGCGCCCATTTTGTCGTCGAGCGGCGCATGATGCGCGTGTCTGCCTTGGCTATTTAACCAAGACGGAGGTTGAGGCTGAGGCAGAGGCTGAGACAAAAACCGACTAAAAAACCTCTGAAAAACTCTTCGTGTTCGGAGAAAGATACTCTGTAACACTCTGTAGCCCAGAAAATGGCT